CCCCAAAACCCCAAAACCCCAAAACCCCAAAACCCCTTTATTGAGTTCTTTAGCTGAATTGTTAATTTATTGGGGTATAGGGTTAAATGGAACAAACTGAACTGATTGCAAAGTATTAGTGGTTAACTTATAACTTTGGTTTAGAAAGGAAGAAAAAGATGACTTAAACAAAGAAAATTCTTTAGAAATAGCTGAAGAAAGCCAAGACAATCTTGGTGATAGGAATAAATCACCTCTTGTGAATAAATGACCATTCTTTGTCAAAGAGGATGTAGATTGCCTCGATACCGAAAAGAAGTGGTTAAATGGCGAAATTATTGGAGTAATTCCAAATTAAAACTTTCATAGATAAGTGAAACCAAAGTTTATATTCATTATACTGGATTTTCTGATAAATGGAATGAATGGATAAAATTTGACTCCAAAAGAATTCAACAGTAAGTCTACCAGCTAAGCATAGCCAATGGAAGCCTGGAAGGCCATTTTATATAAATAACAGAATTGATGTAAAGGATACAGTAGATAAATGGCTAGAGGCAATTGTAGTGGGTATCAAAGACTCTGGCAAAGTCATCAGAGTTCATTACAAAGGTTATACGGCTAAATGGGAGGAAGACTTACCTATAGATTCAAACAGAATTGCTCAAATTGGACATCATTCCAAAGCACATGGTTCGGGAAGAAAACTTAGATCTGGAAATTTAGCTTTAAATTCATTAACAAAAACTGTTAGTTCTGAAGAAAAGAGTTACCAGAAAATAGACAGAAGAAACCCTGAGGAAAAATTTGAAGATGATCTAGACAAAGCTGGATTGAAGATAATCTCCATCGGATCAGACGGAAATTGTCTCTTCAGAGCTTTTTCTCATCAAATATATGGGACGGAAGACCATTACAGATATATCAGAATGAGAACAATGGATTATTGTGAAAAAGAGAAAATTTTCTTCGACCATTTTATCCCTGAAGAATATCCTTCAATAGAGGATTATATCAGACATCGGAGACAAGATGGAGTCTGGGGAGATAACTTGGAAATACAAATCTTAACCGAATTATATCGCTGAAAGGTTATGATTTATGCTTATAATTCAGACCCTATTTTTGTAATGGGAGAAACAGAACAAGATGAGAGAGTCGTCAGGATTAGCTATCACCAAAATTCCCACTACAACTCTGTAATACCTAAAGAAGGAGCAGCAGATAAAGCATGGATATTATCTGACACTCTTGGAGCTTTAGAAGATACTACCTTTGTAGACTTAGAAGGTAGAGATGAATTAGCATCTGCTTTTGGTGGATCTCCTTGAAGAGAAGGAGTTATTCATAGAAATGGTCATACCATTGATCAAATTAGAAATGCTGTAGAAGAATCTAGAAGAGGATTTGCTGAAGCATTTCAAAGAGATCTTGAATCTGTACTCGAAGAGTCAAGAAAAATGTACGAAGAAGCAAATCCTTCTCATTTTTTGGAAGAGCAAAAAGCCATTGAAGAATCCAAAAGAAATTTTCAAGGAGAAATTAGAGAAAATCACCTAATCAATCAATCTCTTCAAGAGTCTTTAAGGAGTAATTCTGGAAATCAATTCTCAAATTGCTCACTTGCAAGTCATGATGATGAGATGCAGGCAGCGATGCTGGTTAGTGCAATGAGCAGTTTTAATATTCAAGCATACCATAGGAATGAACTATCTAGGAACCCTATAGTTGCTCAATGAGTACAATTAGGTAATTCAACAAGACTAATATTTAGGCTTTTCTGAAGATCTTGCAATTCAAGCATTGATACAATTTGGCCATAACCAAGATGCTATTCTTGACTATTTATTTGCTTTGAATATTCAAAACTAATTTATTGGAGATTTTCAATCTAAGGCAAATACGACGGGGTTTTGGGGTTTTGGGGTTTTGGGGTTTTGGGGTTTTGGGGTTTTGGGGTTTTGGG